CAGAGTGAGACTCCAACTCAAAAAAAAAAAAAAAAAGTATCATTAAAAAAAAAAATGAGACCAGTTTACTGTGTTTTATACGGTAATTCAAATTCTAGTTTCCCTGTAAGCTACAATTTAGTGTCTAAGACTGCTTTCCTTCTAATCCTGGCTTTACTCTCATTAGGATATTGGGCACTTCTTGTTGCTCCATTTTCGACCTCAGAACTACTTGGTAGGGTGATTGTGAGCATTAAATGGATTAGAGTTCACAGTTTTTCTCCTTTTAGCTTTTAGTGTCCTGGGCTGTTCTTTTCGAGTTTATGTCTGTATTGTTTATATTGAATATTTAACAAGATTCCTTCTCAAGTTAAGGTTAATTTTAAAATTTGATATTTACATTAGCATATTTTTGCATTTCTAGGTTAATCCTCGAGCACTGTTATTTGGTCATACAGCTTCAATCACTTGTTTGTCTAAAGCTTGTGCTTCCAGCGACAAACAGTATATTGTGAGTGCATCTGAAAGTGGGTGAGTATTTTCTTATTTACTTCTTTTTCTCTTAAATCTTTATAACTAGTACTAGTGTATTTATTGTAGGTAGGGAGGTATTTTCTTCTGGAGTATCTTCTAAATAAGTGCTTTTTGTTGTCTGGATCTAAAGGAAAATGTCTGAAATATGGTTTTAAGGATGTTAATTTCATCTCTGTTAATGATTTTATAATACTTTTATTGTAATTTATGATTATGTCTTTCTTTATCTTACTTTTGAGAACTCAGACTACTATAAAAGTTAAAACATGATCATTAATCTCCATGGAATTTTTATTGGGTCAGCAGACAATTTTGAGATTTTTCCTCAAAACCTGAGTGGTGCTGGGTTAGCAAAACTTTGGAAGATGAAGCCATGTAAAAGTTTATGAAATTATATTGATGTATGTTAATATACTCACATAACTACTTGTCTTCCTAAGTCTCAGACTATAGCTCGCTTTTGGAGAAGTAGGTTATTGAATAGAAGTTGTAGATCCTACGGTGTGAACAATTTTTAAAGCATTTTTGGTTCTTAGAAAATTATATATTTATACAATATACTATTGAAGAGGGTTGGAGAACTTGATGAAAATTATATGAGAAATTGGTCTCTCCGTATGTAATTCTTTGAAACAAAATAGACAACATCAGGTAAAAATATAGTACCTTTGGGTCAGTTAAGTGATAATTCATATTACAGTGCCTTTTTTTCCTTGAGGTTTTCTTCTTTATTTGTTTTGTTTATAGAGACAGAGTCTTATAATGTTGCCCAAGCTGGTCTTGAAGTCCTGGCCTTAAGCGATCTTCTTGCCTAGGCTTTCCAAATTGATGGGTTTACTGGCGTGAGCCACCACACCTGGCCTAAAATGCTGTTCTATATTGAGTGTTCTTTGACAAGTTGTCTTATACCTTGTGAGATATAGGAAAATGATACCCCAAAGAAAACCCTACAATAGCACCATCATTGCATTTTATTCATGTTTTCTTTTGTTAAATAAATCTTATTTCTTCAAAAGACAAGGCATGTTGACTTTCTAATTTTCAATGTTACGTCTTTATTATGAGGTATAATTTTTTTTGTACATGCACAATAGAATTACAATAAATACAGAATAAAAACTGGAATCTTTGTATTTGATTTGCAGAGTTTTGGAATTCAGTTGACTTTTGTGCGGTTTTTTGCACACAAAAAATGAAGTTTTCTAGCTACCTTGATAACAAATGATAAATATCAATAGTTTACATTAAAATTTTATTTCTGTTTCTGTCGCTTGCCCCTTGTGTGTTACTTGAGGGCTCTACTCTACTTTGTTATTATCTTTACTTTAATAGGTTCAGGGTAAGGGAGCAACCATGATTTGAGGCAGCCATTATCTGGAACAGAGGCTGAGGAGAGTTTAGAGGACCAGGCCTTAGATTTGGCCAGAACTTCTTATAAGAATCCACTAATCAAAAGGCAACCAGGGAGTGCAGTCTCATTATGGCCTCAGAAAGGATGTGGACCTGGTGGGAGTGGGCAGGTTGTGGGGAGGCTATTGGAAGACTGGGGATTCTAATGAACAGCAGTACTGACCATATACTACTCTTTCTGAGCTTTGTTAGTTTTAATGGAAGATTAATTCTAAGCCACTGTATAGAGTTGGACCATGCTTTTAAAAATTAGATTCGGAGCCGGGCTTGGTGGCTCAGCCTGTAATCCTGTGCTTTGGGAGGATGAGGTGAGTGGATTGCCTGAGCCCGCGGTTTCGAGACCCGCCTGAGCAACTTGGCGAGACCTCATCTCTACAATAAATCAAAAAATTAGCCGGGCATGGTAGTGCACACCTGTAGTTCTGGCTACTTAGGAGGCTGAGGCAGAAGGATTGCCTGAGCCCAGAGGGTCGACGCTGGGGTGGCTTTGAGTGTGCCACTGCCCTCTAGCCTGGGTGATGGAGTGAGACTCTAATTTAAAAAAAAAAAGTCAGATTCAAAGCTTGCTGTTATTTTGTTTTATAGAGAGATGTGCCTCTGGGATGTGAATGATGGCAGATGTATCGAATTTACAAAATTAGCCTGCACACATACTGGCATACAGGTTAGTATCTATTTTTTGTGTCTAAGTCAGCATAATTATTACAGATATACAGTTAAAAATATTTTTAAAACATCGAGCCTAGGCTGGGCTTGGTGGCTCAGCCTGTCATCCCAGTACTTTGGGAGGCCAAGGCGAGTGGATTGCCTGAGCCCACAGGTTCGAGATCAGCCCAGACCTTGTCTCTACAATAAATAAAAAAAAATTAGCCAGAGGTGGTAGCATGCGTCTGTGGTTCTGGCTACTTGGGAAGGCTGAGGTGGAAGGTTGATGCTGGGGTGGCCATTATCGTGCCTCTGCACTCTAGCTGGGGTGATGGAGTGAGACTTCCCCTCAGAAAAAAACCAAAAAATTGAGTCTATATTTTTATAATGAAAAATACTGGGGAGGTAATAGGATAAGTAGACTAGAATTGGAATAGTAAAATTATTCCTCTTAAGATGCACAACTGGGAACATAAGATGGAGAGGAGACGAATGGGGAAAGATGTTGGATAAGCCAGTGGCCACTGCTGCTTCTGCTGATGTGGGGTCTCTGGGTTCCCAAGTGAGAGCCGCTTCGCTACCTGGGAAAGTGTTCTAGAGCCTAAATACTGGAATTCTTCCCTACGAAAGTCTTTGTGATTCCATTTTTGGTTGACACAAATTGGCCGCTTTTAGGGCCATCTTTTTTTGTTTCTTGTGCAGTGGGTCCTTGGGCATGTTTATTGACTTTCCAAGTCTTCAGAAGAAATGACTATTTCATCTGCCTGGCTTCATATGTAGAGTATGACAGGAATTTGTAATTTCTGACTTACATTCCTGGTATTCTTTCTTTCTTTTTCAGAGTTGTCAAATTCTCTGTGCTTCAACTCACTCATTGTTTCCTGTATTGAGTATTGGGAAATTATGAGTTATATAGAAAATATCAAATTATGTTCTCAATGAGAAAGGAAAGGGAAGAGTCAGGAACTCACATCTATTGAGCAGATATCGTAGAGGCATTTCTCGTATTGTGTTTCATTTAACCCAAAAGCCTCTCACTCATACATGTTAAACAGACGTATATCGTTTTCCGTAAAGGAAGCTGAATCCCTGTTTATACTTGGTCATCAATCATCCTGCCAGATTTTCTTTGATCATGACTAGTAATTTGTAGCCTATACTCACCTATTTCTGTTTATTTAAAATTCATGTTATTTTTGTGACCCACCTGAGCTTCCCTTTTAGTTCGGTTTGTGAAGCTGATTTTATTCAGTTGTTTTATTAATTTATTTAACAGTCCTGTTTTGGATGCTAGATAGTTTTAAAAAGGAGGATAAGATGTTAGAAAAATAATTTTTGTTGGTTGTTTAAAAATACGAATACAAATTGATGTATGTATGTGTACAGACACACGTGCTATGTACCATTTAATAAACATCTAAAAATATCACCAAAGAAGTTGAGCATTTAGGAGAGTTTTGTAGTAACCTTGATGAATACATACTAATTAAGTTTCTAAATTAAACAGGAACATTAAAAAATCTTTTTCCTTTTGACGTGAATTTAGTTCTACCAATTCTCTGCTGGAAATCAACGAGAAGGAAGGCTTTTGTGCCATGGACATTATCCTGAAATCCTCGTTGTGGATGCTACCAGCCTTGAAGTATTATACTCCTTGGTGTCAAAGATCTCCCCGGACTGGATTAGTTCCATGAGCATCATTCGATCCCGCCGAACACAAGGTCAGTGTATTCTGCCCATTAGGAACTTCAACACCATGACTTAATGTTTACCGCACAGTTCTAAGTTCATCATAAATTAATAATACTGGTTATATTCTTCTATTTAAAAAATACCTGCTCCAGTAATTCATGGTCTGTTTCCTACTTCATAAAAACATCCTTGTATTAAGATTTAAAGTGTTAGATTATCTTCATTTTGTGGGATTTCACTAGCTTTCAGCAATCCTAGAGTGTATGAGTGATTTTCTGAAGTAGAGGAATAATAATATCTTAACCCGTGGGGTCACAGTGGGAGGAACTATAGCTTCACCTGTGTATTTCTTGAGTCTGGTTTTGTCACTTGTTTAAGAGGCACAGGAAGTGTTTCCACTTCATATGGAGGTAATAAAAAGGGAAGGGATTATACATAGTTGTGTTTAATGAAAATTCCTGGTAAGTGCCTGAGATGTAGCTGACGCTCAGTAACAGTGTTGAACCCTTTCAATAGCAACCATGAGAGCAAAACCAAAATAACCCAGTAAAAGAGCAGTAGTTAATGCTGAGCATTGAATGTATGTCCTTATTAGCCTTTTTAGGAGCCGTCTTTTTTCTCCCAAATGTCATGTTTGTGTGCTTTCTATAGAAGCTGATCTATAACAACTACCGCCATCCCCATAAAGACTTCATTTATTGAGTGTTTAAAGCATCAGACACCATACTAAGCATTTACATGTGATCAGTTCTCACGATACCCAGTAGGGTCGGTCCTGTTGTTTTCCATCATATAGAGGGTTGTGGAGTCTTTGCCTAAGCTCACAGAGCAAGAATGTGGCTGACTAGTGGCCAGATGGCCTCCAGAGTTGTGACTTGAACCGCTGTGTTCAGTGTGCCAGTTGTTAAACTTTAGGAGAGTTCTTCTTTGTAAGTGCTTAGGGTTTGAGTCAGCACATCGCTTCTAATCACCAGCTGCTCAGTGTTCAGCCAATATTTATTGAGTACCTACTATCTTCCAGGTGCAGGGGATCGAAATACTTAAGGGACTCAGATTCTAGCAAGGTAGAATGATATATAAAGAAGTAACAGTTCAGGGTGTAGAGTCTGCAAGGTGGAGACACAGCATAGAGAGGACGGCAGTGAAAAGGCTATGGGCAGTACGAAGTCTGCCCAAACCCGATGAAGTCTTAGCTAGGATTAGGAAGGTGTGGAGGGGTTTGGCACGGGGATTGAATCTGGCAGAGGAGATAGTCTGTACAAAGGTGCAAAATTATTAAAAATAGTACAAGTATGTGTGTAAACCGGGCTCGGTGGCTCAGTCTGTAATCCCGTGCCTTTGGGAGGCTGAGGTGAATGGATTGCCTGAGCCCGCGGGTTCGAGACCCGCCTGGGCAGCGAGACCTCATGTCTACAATAAATCAAAAAATTAGCCGGACATGGTAGCACGCGCCTGTAATTCCGGCTACTCGGAAGGCTGAGGCAGAAGGATCGCCGGAGCCCAGCAGGTCGAGGCTGCGGTGGCCGGGAGCGGCCGCTGCACTCAGTCTGGGCGACAGAGTGAGACTCCAACTCAAAAAACAAACAAACAAACAAGTATGTGTGTAAAATTATAAATGATCAATTATCTTTTTTGGGGGGGGCAAGACATATAAGGGATAAAGTGGAAGGGTATGAGCCTGGCAGAGTTGGCAGGGGAGAGGTCATGAGGGGCCAGTGTGCCAGTTAGGGAACTCACCCTGAGGATTAGGGGTTTGCAGACTTGTATGTAAAAGGCCTGCAGGCCATATGGTCTGTGTTTCAGCTACTCAGCTCTGCTGTTGCTGCACAAAAGCAGCTGTAGACAGTATGTAAGTGAATGAGCCTGACTGTGTTCTAATAAAACTTTATTTACAAAAATAGCCACAGGCTGGATTTGACCCATGAGCTGTAGTTTGCTGACTCCTGCTGTAGGTGATGGGCTGTCTCTGGTAAGAATGCTTGAAGGGGCTTCTATTTTAAACATCACCTAGGTGGCGTTGCTGAGAATGGTTCAGATGGGAGCAAACCAGTTAGGAGATCGTTGGAATAGCACAGCTGAGTTGACTGCAGGAAAAGCGTGGGTGGGCTCTCTTTCTCTCCACTGGCTGTTCGCCAGAGTTTTGCTTCTGAAGTTTAAGAAGCATTAGTGGGAAAGGCAGATTCTGTAGTCAAATATATTTGGGAGGTGTTGGGCAAAATAAAATTGAGCAGGTGTCGTTAATGTGGGGCCTTCGCAGATGTTTTTTATGCATATTAGAGAACGACTCTTTTATTCCTGAGCATAACAGTGGAAATGAGATTCAGTTTAATTTTCCAGGCAATGGGGAACTCATTGTTCATATGTTTGCCTCTACTACTAGTTACAATCAATGCTTCCTTTAAAAAAAGCTCTATATTTTTGACCATTGTGTACATTTTGAATTTTATAATGTGGAAGATATTCATTTTTTAATCTGCATTTGCCATTATCCAGTCTATGCATATTTGAGAATTTTTGATATTTTGGTATGTTGTCACAGCTTCTCTGTATGGGGTCATGGGAGTGTGGTCATCACTGCATTCCAATGCCTTTATGGCCTTGAGAACTATGCAGTATGATGAAGTTTTACTGAAAAGTAGCAGTTCTCTTAGTTGCAGTAATAACTAACTTTTATTGAGAAGTCAGTATGTGCTGAGTGCTATATCTGTGGTGTACCTTAATTTTTATAACAGTTTTTATTCACTGTTGTTATTCATTTGTTTGCTTGTAGATAAGCAAATTGAATTTAAGATGGTTAGTTCAGTTATCCACAATTCACTAGCTAATTTGTGAAGAAAAATGTGATTTTGATTTTAACATGCACTCTCCTCACTCTGGAGCCCACGTTAGGCTGCTTTCTAATGTTTATCCTCAAAGCTCACATATATTACCATGGTGCTGCGACTGGTCCCTTAACCCCCAAATTTTGAATTTAGGTTTTACATTATGTTTTTTTACTTGATCACAATCTATGGAGTATGTAATGTGCAATGAAATGGAAGACAAGCAAGATATGTGGGAAAGGAGGGGAAATAGAGGCCTTGAAGAAAGAAAGTGACCATGCTCATCTCTGATAAATAATTGAAAGCGGAGCATTTTAAAGAATAAAAGTTCTTTGTTAATATAGTAATCTAGAATATGTTAAATGATTGAAAAGTTGATTAGAAATAAAAAATACATTCAATTAACTAGAAATAATTCTCCTTGAATTTTAAGTTGTTGACAATCTTTAATAACCTGTGTTTCAAAATCAGGTTTTCATTTCATGAAAGAGAGAATTGTGCTTTTCTGCTAGTTGTAGAACATGTTCAATTTAAACTTAATTTCATTCAGGTGAACCATCTTAATATTTAGAAAGAAAGTGTGTTATGTTTGTAACCTGGACTTCTTGTCCCTTCCTGGTTCAGAGGACACGGTGGTAGCACTCTCGGTGACGGGCATCTTAAAGGTGTGGATCGTTACTTCTGAAATAAGTGACATGCAGGTGAGACAAGGGATTCTGGGAGTGAGTTCTCTGTTTGGACTCGTATTGTAGTCTGAAATTTTAGTAATGATATGCCTCTTCCCTTTTTTTTCTTAAAGGGGAAGGATAAAGCTGTTTTCTTTCTTACAGATACAGTTTAGCTTTCTTATAGAAGTCAGTATAGAAGATTCCTTAGTATGTTGTGTGTGTGAGTGAATTAAATTTTTTCACTTTTGATGGCAATATTTGCTCTATCAAAGATGTAAAATAGAGAAGCATATTGCATAGTATATGAAAAGGAGATATAATAAAGAGATGGGGTTCTCCTCAACTGCTTCTGTTTAAATTAACTTGAAGAAACAGGTTAAAAGCAAACCACCTCAAAAAATGCACACAGCTGTTTTTAGTCCTCTATTTTAGTTCTTTAAGCTTTATCTGTCTATTATCTATCTGTCTATCTCTGTCTCTATGAGAAAGATCAAATTTCTAACAGTACTGAGACTGCTCTCTTCAGTCAGGGAATTTTTCTTTCTTTTTTTTTTTGTTTTGAGTCGAAGTCTCACTCTGTTGCTCAGGCTGGAGTGCAGTGGCACACTCCTGGTCACCGTAGCCTCAACCTGCTGGGCTCAGGTGATTCTTCTTCCACCTTAGCCTTTCAAGAAGCTGGAACTACAGGCATGCGCCATCATGCCCAACTAATTTTTTTTTTTTAATTGTAGTGATGAGATCTTGCCATGTTGCCCAGACTGGTCTCGAACCTGTGGGCTCAGGCAGTCCTCTCGCCTCTGCCTCCCAAGCTAGGGAATTGTTAGGCATTGGATTTGAGAAAAGCTAGAGGAATTGATTCTTTTTTTTTTTTTAATTATTTTTTAAATCAATAGCATAGGGACCCCCTCTGGTCCCCTCCCACTGTGGGAGCTTTTCTGTCCTCTCAATAAATCCTGCTTTCTCAAAAAAATAAAAATAATAAAAATAAAATCAATAGCACATATGTCTACAAAAATTAGGATTAATGCAAACTTTTGTCATCTGCCATTGTCAGAGGGATGACATTTTGGTTCTCATCAGGATTTAAATCTTGAGTTTTGTATTGACTACATATGTGCCCGGCTGTTTTTAGCTAGCTGTATTTTTTCTGCTTTTTTGCTGCTTTGACTTACCCAAGGGGCTAACAGGGTAAACATATCAAGTGATGTCTTTATTTTATTTAGTTGCCTTTATTACAGTGTAATGATTTTAATTGATGACTAAGCTGTTCCCAAAGTTTTATAAAATGTTTCTCTTTTCAGGATACTGAACCAATATTTGAGGAGGAGTCCAAACCAATTTATTGTCAGAATTGCCAAAGCATCTCTTTTTGTGCATTCACACAGAGGTCACTTTTGGTTGTGTGTTCCAAATATTGGAGGGTAAGACAACTACATAAATAAGAAGCTGTATTTTTTACACTTTAAGAATTGGTTGATCAGACTTACAACATAATTTGAAGGAAGTAATTGCTACACAACTATTTTAGGCATTTGGAATTCATGTCTGGTTTTGATAATATATTTTGAGGAGTTGGAACTTGACTGTATATAGTTGTTGTTTTTTTGGTTTTGGTTCATGGAATAATTTAGTTAGTGACTATATTTTATTGGTCATAATTTCTAGTTTTTGTTACTGTTTTAGTCATTATCAGTGTAACATAAGCAGTGGTTGTGAATTTTCTATAGGTTGGACATTTCTTTGTAGGGTGTTATTAAACCTAATTATCATTTTTTTCTCTGGCTTCTTGGAGTTGGGAAGGTCTTCCCGTACCATTTCAGAGCTAATGATGGAAGAAATACATTACGTCCACATTGCCAGATGTTAATATTTCCATGATAGAAAAACAGCCAGATGTTTTGAGCACTTACTCTGTGCCTGGCACTTTCTTTAAAAGCTTTCCTTGCATTATTTCTTTTAGTTCTTACAACTCTTTGAGGGTAGTTGTGTTAGTTATCTAGTCCTGCAGTTCAGATGACCCCTTAGCAGTTGAAAACAATAAACATGTATGATCACCTAGTTTCTGTGGATCAAGACTCTGGTCATGGCTGAGCTGGACACCTTTGGCTCAGGGTTTCTCACAAACTGCAGTCAAGGTGTCTGCTGGGTGGCCATCTCAGCTTCCAAGTTGTCTCGTGTGGCGGGTGGCAGGCCTCAGACTCCACTGATGGTTGGCTGGAGACACTAGGCCCCTGCCACGCAGGCCTCTCCATGGGGCAGTTCACAACGCTGGTCTCCCTCAGAGCAAGAAAGGGAAGGTGTCTTAAGGCCCAGCCAATCATGGAACCAAGATCTCATCACTTCTGCCACATTCTGTTCTCTAGAAACAGGCGCAGAGTCTAGCCTGTACTCTAAGAGGGGGTCACACAGGGGTGTGAATTGCAGGATTTGTAATCAGTGGGGCCATCTTAGTGACTGCTTGCCGGAGCAGGAGTAGCTGTTTTCCCCATTTTGCTGATAAGGTGACTGATGGGACACACGTTACAGAAGCAAAGGTTCTAGAAGCGGTGGTGGAGGGCCTGAGTCACAACTCAGGTGGTCTGACTGCAGCAGCTGCTCTCATTGCTACTATGCTGTGCTGCCTCCCAGTTAGAACATGGAGTAGACCTCTCCTGAGCTTGCAGGTCAAGGGCATGAACCGTGGTACAAGGACTGACTTCCACGTGCAGTGAAAGAGAAGCAGCAACTTAACCCTATCTTTGTTCCTATTTTAGAATAGGTTAGAGAGGAACAGTCAGGAGCTGCTTAATTAGAATAGGCTATATAGGATCCTTCCTTTGCGTTAACACTTAAAACACATGCAAGTAGTAATAAAGACCAGAGCGCTGGAGATGCAGCGAAACGCCTGTCTCCTGCACACCTTCTCCCCCTGGTGCATGCCTTTCCCTCCCAGAGGGAGTATGTAGTATCAGTTTCTTGTGTGTCTATTATAAGTATTTTACAATTATGGGATGACAGCTTTTTCTTTTTTATTAATTAAGTTTTTTGAGTCAGAGTCTCACTCTGTCACCTAGGCTGGAATGCAGTGTCTTGATCACCGCTTACTGCAGCCTTGACCTTCTGGGCTCAGGTGACCCTTCTGCCTCAACCTCCCCAGTAGCTTGGGCATACATGTGCATGCTACCGCTCCTTGCTAATTATTTAATTTTCTTTTTTGGAGAGACGGGCTCTCACTATGCTGCCTTGGCTGGTCTTGGACTCTTGGGCTCAAGCAGTACTTTTACCTAGGTCTCCCAAAGTGCTGGGAATACAGGTGTGAGCTGCTGTGCCTGGCTGCTGCTTTTTTTTTTTTTTTTTTTTTTAAGCACATACATAAGAGTAAAAAGGCAATTTACATAATGAGATAAGATAGTTATGATATACACACATGATGAAGAATTTTCCAGTGCTTAAAAAATATTAACTCCTACAATTCAGGAAGAAAGATAGAGACAACTCAGTATAAAATTAGACAACGAAATTTTGCAAGAGAGGAAACCCAGATGGCAAATAAATGTATAGAAAAGGGCTTCATTAATCATCATATTAAAATGATATGGAGATAGAATTACAGCCTACCAGAATGACTTTTTGAGATATTTATTGCCATACATAAGTTTTCAAGTTTATTATTTATTTCCTTTTTTTGAGTTGTGGTCTAACTGTCTCACCCAGACTGGAGTGCAGTGGCACGATCACAGCTTACCACGCCCTCAAACTCCTAGGCTCAAGCCATTCTCTTGCCTCAGTCTCCTGAGTAGCTAGGACTGCAGGTGCATACCACTGTGCCTGGCTAATATGTATATGTATGAGTTGGAGTCTCGCACTGTTGCCCAGGCTGGAGGGCAGTAGCACGCTCCTGGCCACTGCAACCTTGACCTGCTGCCTCAAGCAATCCTCTGCCTCAGCCTTCCAAGTAACTGGAACTACAGGCACACACCACCGTACCCAGCTAATTTTTTTTGATTTATTGTCGAGTTGCCCAGGCTGGTCTCAAACCCATGGGCTCAGACAATCCTCTCACCTCACCAAAGTTCTGGGATTATAAGTATGAGCCACTGCGCCCATCACTGGCTAATATTTTGATCTTTTGTAGAGATGAGGTTTTGCTATGTTGCCCTGGCTAGTCTGGAACTCCTGGGCTCAAGCAATCCTCCCACCTTGGCTTCCAAAGTGCTAGGATGACAGGTATGAGCCACCACGTCCAGCCTTTCAATTTCAATATGGTCAGATTATCTTCTGTTATTTAATGGTTTTTTAAATGGTTGTTACATTTTTAAAGGTTTTACTATAAGCTGAGATTAAAAAAAAATTTTCATCTAATTTTTATGTTTTTTATCTTATATACCTTTGAATCTTTAATTTGGAACTTGTATAAATTGTGAGATATAGATCCAATTTTATTTTTATTCTAGATGAACCCCCAGTTTCTGATGCCACTTTTGGAATAGTTAATTTTTCTGTTGTTGTGTCTTGATAATATACAATATTTCTATATTTTGGGGATCTGTTTCTAGATGTCTTGATTTATTTTCCCATTCATGAATTAATACTATATATATTCACACATATATGAATTCATATATATTCATATATATTTATATACATATGAATTATACTATATATAGTGTGTGTGTGTGTGTGTGTGTGTGTGTGTGCGTTTTTTTTTTTTTTTAGAGTTGGTGTCTTACTCTTGTCGCCCAGGCTGGAGTGCAGTGGCACATTCATGGCCACCACACCCTCAACCTGCTGGATTTAGGCGATCCTTCTGCCTCAACCTTCCAAGTAGCTGGAATTACAGATGCATGCCATGCCTGGCTAGTTTTTGTGATTTACTGTAGAGACGAGGTCTCACCAAGTTGCCCAGGCTGATCTCAACTCCCCGGGCTCAGGCAGTTCTTTCGTCTCGGCCTCCCAAAGTGCTGAGATTACAGTAATAGTATATTTTTTAAAACTTTCATAGCTTTATAATTTGTTTTCACATATAATAGGGCTAGAGGGCCAATCCCCCCTCATTATTTTTTCTTGGACTTTTCTTTGCTATTATTATAGTGCTAATATTATGTACTGATACATATTGTAACAAATCATGTTGAATTCACCTAGGATTTGTTCTAACTTCAAGGCTCTGAATAAGCAACTTGATTGTTTTATTTAAAGAAAAGTAAATAGAAACTCTGAGCCATTGAGGAATGAGGACTGACTCATTCATTCCTTTCTGGGAACTTTTTTAACAACCTGGAATGTACTTTTATCAAATATTAAAGGTGATAGAACATTTCTGCAAGAAAGTATAAGACCAGAGGTTTTAGTCCTAGCTCTATGACTTACTGGACACATGACCTTGAGCAAGCGAGGAAATCCTTGTGTCAGTTTCTTGTCTATAAAATGGGGTGGTAGTACCTGCCTGTCTTCCTCCTTCAGTGATTCTAAGGGTCACATGAGATAGTGATTGTAAAGGCACTATGTAAACTTTAATGTGCCTTGTGAATCTTAGGCCATGTAAGGCCAGTGGTCTATGTTTCTGGTAAAAGTATAGGGACTTGCCTTTTATACGTGAGAATTATTAAGTAATAAAAATGAGTCTGTCAACTTCCTGTATATAGTATTTTTGAACACTGATGAACTAAAGCAAAGCAAGGCAATTCTCCCATTAAAGAGGAGTTATTCTGACGTCAGAATTTATTGTTGGAAATGTTAATGGACGTAGAAATGAAACAGGACTCAGAAGCTTGCCTTCCAGTGGCTGAGTTCCTATTCTTTGCCTTTCTTGGGTGGATTGCTTCCTCCTTCTAGATAAAAAAAAAAAGTCTAGATTGCCGTGCCTGTGTAGGGGAGCACCCTACTTCCCCTGTCATGGTTTTGCCTGTCCACAGCGAGGTTGCACACAGTTGGGGACCTAGTTGTGTTTTTCCTGTTGAAGGGGACCATCCATGCCCCAAGGCTTGCTGACAAACTGTCTTCGTCTGAGGCAGTGAACTTTAAAGGTCTGAATTTGCTAAATATATTTCCCAAAGTTTTTGAAAAATTTGAAATGTCACTGTATCTTAAATTGTAACAACATGGAGTAGCTTGTGAATTTCTTATTCCTTGTAGGTATTTGATGCTGGAGACTATTCCCTGTTGTGTTCAGGTCCTAGTGAAAATGGACAGACATGGACTGGAGGGGACTTTGTATCAGCAGACAAAGTAATCATCTGGACTGAAATTGGGCAAAGTTATATTTACAAACTACCTGCCAGGTATGCAATAAATAATAAATTAGAACAGTCATCAAAAGTAAAAGATTCAGAGTTTGGGGTACAGCTTGACCTTATGAAAATGGACATAGTACAAAATTTTCTTTTATTATAAAGATGTGGGGTACAATTCAGGGTTAGGTATACAAACGTTGTTTATGCAGGTACCCTTGTTGATGAGGTGTGCCCCTCCCGCCCCTAGCAGTTTCCCTCAACTGCCAATCCCACCCCCCTTCCCCTGACAGTTTCCCACTACTGCCTAGTACAAATATTTAATTTAGGTAAAGAACTTTATTGGTTG